CTTTATATTGGCTTCTTGAAGAGCTGCTGCGATTAACTCTAACAACTAAGTGTAATCAATTCTTGTCATTGCTTCTTGGTTGGACCATGTATATGCTTTCTTTGTTGGATGTAGCTTTCTATACAAGTCTGCAAACTCCTGTCTTTTAAGCCATTTAAAGATTGGCAGCTTCTTGTAATTTGTTAGTTGTAGATGTTGTCTATCCAATAAGTTATCATCTGTGTGATTGAAATCTCCAAGTATAATCACTTCTGTGTTTTTTTTCTTGTTTGTTACTATTTCTAATATTTTCTGCTAAATTTTCTTACTAATCAATTTATTATTCAGTAGAATATATACCTCAATTACTACTAGTTCTAGTTGTTTGAAGTATAGTCTTACTTTTATCATATATTTATTAAACCTCTTGATTGCTTCAACATGTTTTTCTTAGGTTTCCTCTATTAGAATTCCAATATTTGATCTTTTTTTCTTATCTGATATTGCACTAACCTAGTAGCTTTTGAATCTTGTGTTTAGATTGTATAGCAATATTTTCTCTTCTTTCTCTATAATGTTCATTTCTATTATTTCTAAAATTGTTACTTCTTCTTCTGCCCAGCCTAGCAGGTTTTCTAATTTCCAGCCTCTGGTTTTAAGTCTATTAACATTGTAACAGGCTAATTTTATTTTTTTTCTTCCTACTTTCCATTTTTCTTTTAACTGCTTGTATCTTGTCTCCATGTTTTCTATTTTCTTTTTGACTTTTCTTCTTTTTTCTTCTCTTAAATTAGGAGATCTTTCTTTACTTTTTTTTTCAAATATTCTTCTCTCCCTATATAGAAAGTCTCTGATCTCCTTATTTATGTTCGTAATTTCAACTGAGATGCTCTTAGGAGCAATTTGCTAGATCTTCCTTAGCTATGCTTCTTGTCTCTTCTCGATTTTCTAATCTCTCTCAGATTCGTTCTAAGATTTTCTCCATAAATAACTCTCGATCTTGCTTTTGTGCTTTGAGATCTTCTGATCTACTTCTTGAATCTTCTTTTTCTTTTTCTCTTGCATCTAATTTTTTTGCTTGGTTTAGCCTCTGTTGGTTCTGAGTGTTGTTTCTTTCTTTTAATGACTTAAATCTCCAACTTGAATTATCTTTAATTCTGCTTTTATTTATGAAAGTTTTATTTCTATGTCTTTCTTTACTATTTATATCCTTTTCTCTAATAGAGAATTGGCTGCATCTGTCCTAGCTTCTTCTTCTCTTTTCTTTGAGGCTTTTTCTTCTTTTTGTTATTCTTTTTCCTTCATTTATTCAGTATACTTGAAAGTTGTTATACAAAATCAGTTTTGTTTAAGTTGCATTTATTTTCTCTTCTATTGCAAACATTATCATTGCTGTTTTTTTTTGGTTTCCATTTCTGTTTGGTAGAATGTAAACTGACTTTACTCCTTTGCTTCTCAGACATCATAACAGCAGGACTTCTAAGACATTTCTGAGTAAGTCTGTCAACTTTGTTGTATATTTTCTTTAGTTTTCTCTTGTTCATAGTTTTCTTTCCCCCTAGTTACTCATACTAGTTTGTTATTGTTGACTGGTATTATTCACAGAATGTCAACCTTTCTGGGTTCTTCTAGTTGCACTATCACCAGCACTTTGTATTTTGATCTTTTGATTCTTATGATATAGGCATTTTTGAATCTTCTGCAAATATATTCTAGTTCATTTTTGTTAATATCTGTTGGCAAGTCCTATATTGTTAATCTTTCATTGCCATCTAGCTTCTCATTAATTTTATTGAAGTTTATGTCTTTTTTGATCTTGTCATTTTTTTTATTAACTGTTTTCCCTTTAATTTACATTATATTATTACTTCTTTTGTGCTATACTTCGATATTTGCTTTTTGCTTTCCTTTTTTGTTCTCTCTTTCTTCTGGTATTAGTTTGTACCAATTACTCTCTTTCTGCTAATTCTTTGTATTGCTTCATTTCTATCATATTTGCAGTCAAAGTCTACTTCAATTCACAAGTTTCCTCTTTTAAAAACTTCTTTGATTTCTTTGATATGTTCATTCCCTTTTAGTGACTATTTGATAAACTTTATGCATTCTTCTTGTGTTGTACCTGGCACATTGTATGCTGGTATGTTAGCAAGTAAGCTATTATTTTGACTACAGTCTCTTCTATTTGGCACCTACATGTTATCTTCAAGTGGTATTCTGACTATGTCAATTTCTTTTTCAATTTTTGGATTTCTTTTCTGTTCTGTTGCTTTGTCTTTAATTACATCTTGCATTGCATCTTTGGCTATTTTTGTTAACTTTTGTTTTTGCTCTTCTATTTGTTCTTCAACTTTCTTTTTTTTGATGGATAACTGTGTTTCTATTTGTCCACTATTACTAAAACTTACCTCTGCATATCCTTTTCTTTGAACAGTTAAAATATCTTTTTGCAGTTCTCTATTCTGCTGTTGAATTTTTTTTTCTTCTCTTGGTGCCACCTCTTGCATTTGCCTTACTATATTTAATTTTTTTTTTAATTGTTCTTTTCAGCTTTTTTTACTATCTCTCTTGTTATTTGTAAAAAAGCTACTTTGTTCATATCTTGTCCAGTAAGTGTTGCTACAATCTCATCCTTTCTGTCTGGCACTACATATGTGTTGCTTGCTTCATTAAAGAAGTGCTTATTATGTATATTGCCTAATATCTAGTAAGCTCTTCTTATACAGATTGCTTTTATGTTTTCTTTATACTCTTCAGGCAAACTTTTATCTATTGCTAAATCTGTTTTTTTCTAGAATCTTCTTCTATTTTATTGCTATATATTGGTTCGTTTATTTTGTATATGACTACTTGCATGTGTTTGTTGTTATTATTTGATATATTACATGTCTTTGTGCAATATAAACAGATCTACTTTCAGGGTCAGATAGAAATCACCACAATTGTCATTTCAATGCTAAAAATTTTTAAAACATCTTGCTTTTCTCTTATAACTACTCTAATATTACTGTGTTTTTTTTGGTTTCTAAGATTGTTTAGTGCACTTTTTGTTGCTGCTTCTTTTAGCTTAGTGCTGTTTAGGTGGTTTCTTATTAGTTTTCTTGAGAAAACTTGAGTTACTTTTTTTACTAATTTTGTATTAAAGTAATTATCAAAAAGAGTTATATGAGAATTGAATTTTTTTTTTGATATTTTGTATTAGTAATCTAATAATTATTTAATTTTAAAAATCATAAATATTGAATTACCAAATTCTTTAATATATCTGTAAAGATATTTTACAGTCTTTTATAATACAATATAAAGAATATTTATAGCAAAACAAATAGTTAAAAAAGTATAATATATTAACTATTTATAATTTAATGATAATGGCTTTAAAGAAAACTTTGTTTACACTATATCTTGGATAGTCTACTTATATTCTTCTCAGAACATCAAAACTTTGATACAACAAATAATATACTTTTTTGTAGAATGTTTTTTTTTTAATATTTAATATATATTAATTACAAAAAGTTTTAGTTTGTAATTTTATTACAGGTTGGTATAAAATATTTATTAAAAAAAAGAAAAAAGATGAAAATGCTAATATTAGAATTAGTATTTTTATTCTAGTAATGAAAATAAAAAAAGTATAACTCTGTCATTTACTTTTAGAATATAGTTCTTCTCATCAGTTTAGTTTATCTAATTGTAATTCTTCTAATTATTCTTTTGCTAATGCTATTATTATTGAAAAATAGAACAGATATTACAATATAATCATGCATATTATAATAGATGTTTTAGTCAAGATGAATCAAAATGTTTGTATTGCTTAAACTATATTAAAAATAGTATTAATAAATATGTTTAATCACTTTTAAAAAGCTTAAGCAAACTTGAGAATATTAAAATTGAAAGAAAAGATTCTAATTCTATTATTGAAAAAGATAATAATAATAAGTTGACTAATAGTATTTCAGCTTTTTGAGATGTTACAATCTGAAAATTTCTTCTACGTACTATAGTTCTTTTTCAAGTTTTAATATTATTTTTAAAAATTTTTTTTACTATCTTCGTTAAAATTTATATAATTTATAATTTATTTATATTATTATACATAAATATGTAATAATAAGACATAATTATGCAATAAAAAAACTATGTACATTATAATTACTAATTTATTGCAATGATTATTAAATGATAAATGATAATTATAATTATAATCAAAAAAAATTTCTGTTCAGTAATCAAAAAAAGTTCCTGTCCAGTTACTTTTTACCCACCTGGTCAATGTCTAAAATTAATGTGTGAAAAGGACATAACGCCCATTAAAAAACTTTTCCACACATTAAAGTTTACCAATATGTACGCCTTGTACATATATGTTACAAAATTATGAACACAATGCGCTCATTAAAATTCTTAAATTTATATATTTAATGTGCGCTATATTTATTATGAAATTAACTTGTTAACTAACATTGAAATTAATTTATATCTTTAAATATTTATTAATATCGAACTTACATCAACTTAAAAATGAATAAAAATGAAGGTATATAATAAATGATTGTGCTACTTTTTTCTTTTGCGCACACTTAAAAAAAAATTATATGCGCTTCAGCGCACCAGAATTTATATGTAATGTGCATCCACCCACGTTCTTGATGCTGAATTTTAGACACTGCACTCAGTATATATATAACTATTTTATAGTTTATAAAATAAAAAAGAATTGTTTGAAAATATATAAAATAATATATAAAACACATTGTAAATTCGATCTGCAGAAAATCAACCAATCAGACGAACTTTTGTCCATGACATGTGACATAACAAATCAAATCAGCCATATGAATAGATAGATAATAATATGATTGGCTAGTATAAGTTAGACAACACTGAGCAATAGAAGCCTATTTTGTAATTTCAGAATTAAGCAACAAACCCTAAATTTTGTTCTTGCAAATATATACTAATAAGGTAAATTTGATTATTACTACTGATCAATGATTCTTTTAGATTATTATTACTGATCCATTAATTCTTTTAATTCTTTAAAATATTTTAATTTATCGGATTTTTGATAGTGCTTAACTCTAGCACTAGTTGAAGGAATTACAAAAACTTTTGTATATCCATTCTTTTCCTCATAATCATCATTCCAAAATATTTGATAAGACTGTAATCCAAAGTTTTTAAACTTCTTTTTGGTGCCATTCGATTGAATCATATACTCAAACGCATCGAAGGCACATTTTCCTATGAAGCACAGAATTTTTGGCTTATAAAATTTTACTTTTTGTAATAGAGTTGGGATACCGTTACGTAGTTCGATTGTCGATAAATCCTTTTGTTATTATTATTTAAAGGTTGATTAAATGAATATAAACGAATATAAACGAATAGATAAGTTTTTTTTTAAATCATGAAATCTTGACACTTACGGCGGAAGAACGCGTACAACGATTTACAACATTAATAATCCCAATTTTAAATCGATTTATGAAAGTTCTGTCATCTTTATACGTAACGTTCTCATTATTGGTTGCACCGCATTCAACAAGACATGAATAAAAATGATTCGAATGATGAGCAAAGTGGTGACCAGTTTCTGCGCTGCGTTTTCCTGGATTGATCCCAACAAATAAAACTAAAACGAATACAAATAACCAGATGAATAATAATAATAAATATGTAAATTTATTAAATTAATATGGTTTGTTTTCTATGCATACCTTTTAAATTAAAATCTATAATATCAGGAACATTCAGAACGTCAAGTTCAGTATCTAAAGTTACTAGTGAACTTTGCGGATCACTATTTTGAATTTCTTTTGTCTGAAAATTATTTTTTGCTTTACAATACGGTGTAGCAGAACGAACTTTTAATGTTACGGCGGTCCTCGTATTTTTTTTACGCGTCTTTATTATGGAAGGCGTAGTAGTATCCTGATTCGGAACTATAGTTGTTACATTTGAAGGTGAATACAAATATTGGGATAAAAATTTCTTAAACTTATCAGCAGACGACTCGCTATCTTCAGTTTTTAACATGATTGTATAATTATTATCGTAAATCTCAATTAACGTTACTGTTCGTATTTCTGTATTTACTAGCATAGCGGGCTTTCATTCTGATTGGCTAATTTTTGTAAATCATCAGATGGCGTTACAAAATCTGATTGGCTAATATAAAAGAAAAAAAATTTTTTTTTTTTTTTAAGAAAGTAAGACTTGGCTTTTGTTCTTTTATTATTATTATATAGAAGTTTTACAAAAAAAAAAGTAATTGAATACAATGTTTTTTTTTTTAAATACGTGTTAACAGTAAGGTTATGCCTTTAACTTTATTAAAATTCAAGTAAAGTTTTTACAAAGAAAGACTTGCTTTTAAATTATATATGAAAAATAAAGACTTAGACTAATAATCTGCAACCTAAACCTACAAGAGTGGTCAAGGTTCACCTAGATTTGGGTGTGGGTAAAATGTAAGAAAGAAAGGTATAGTATTTAATTTATTGAATAATCTAAAGTCTATTTTGGTTATAGGTTTAAAGATTAAAATAAGAGATAAAATGAAATTAGAAAAGGAGCTATATAATAAGTTAGTAGTAGTTATAATTTAAGGTTGTTGAAAACAGAAAATACAGTAGGGGATTTATATATATTTATATATTTGTTAATTAAAATAGAGAAAAAGGTTGATAAAAAAAAAAGTAGCAGTATAATAAGAAGTACAAATCTTGTAAATAATAAAAATAAAACTAATAGAAACTAGGTCAAATATTGTAGAGATTAAGAAGTGCTTGTGTGAAAGGTAATAAAGGTTAAAACTATTAAGTGAAAGAATTTTTTTGTATAAGTCAGAAATGAAGTTTATAAAAGTGTTAAGAAAAGTTGTATTTAAGATAGTATTAAGAGAGTTAGAAAAGAATTAATAAATAGTTTGAAAAGAAGAACAAATAATCTAATATAAAAAAATATTAGTCAAATTGCATTAATGATAGAAAGGTAAGTTGAAGAAGTTATATTTGTGAAGAGTATAAGGAACAGGTAGTTTATTAAGTAAAATTTAATATAAAAGGTTTTAAGTATAAAGAAATAGAAATTGTAAGTAAAATTTATAATTTTTTAATTATTATTGATATTAAGCCATATGGTTTTTTAGTTAATATCTAATACAATAGTAGTTCAAGAACAATAAAATATTAATAACTCTTTTCAATAATCACCTAGACCAAGTTAGCACTAAAAGTAGATTAAAGACTCCAGCTTCAAAATAGATAATATTTTTAGTTTTACATTAAGTAAACTTGCTATTAACAAAGCTCAAGTATATACTACATCAAGAGTAGATAAAACTTGAGTAGTTCTTGCCTTGGGTTAAGTTTTTTGTTTGATGAACTTTTTCACATATTCAGCATCCAAACTGGAAGGATATTCTGAAAGCAAGTAAAGATAGAATTAGTTCTTTGATTAAGAATATTAGAAGCAGAAGAAAAAGAAGAATAACTAGAAAAACTTTATTTAACTTGGATCTTTGCAACAATAATATATCTTTTCTTTATTTTTTTTTGTTTTTTTTTCAAAAAGTGAAGCTTTGGCTTATTTTATCAAAAGATCAACATTGTATATTACTTTCTTTTACAGTTATATGCTTATTTAGATATAACAAATAAGGAATACAACAAATATGTGAGTTAGCTAATTATATGAAGCAGATTAGAAAAGAATTTAATTTGAAAAACTAAAAATATATTAAGATATATATATATTCTGAGGCCATGTACATAATATTTTTAAAAAAATAATTACAAGAGTTTATAAAGAATTAGATTGCTTAAATATACTTCAAACTTTAATATAGTACTTCACCTACTTAAAGATTTCTTTTATATAAAAAGTGTCTGACTCAAATTCTGTCTTACAAATGAATACAGTTTTTATTCTAGTTAAGAATACCTAGTTTTTAGAAAATAACCATAGTTTATAAAAATATAAAAATATTGTAATGAGCAACAATTATAAAATAGAATTTTATCTTATTAGCAGATTTCTTTCTTTATTCTTCTTATAGATTAGTTTTATTTTCTTTTTGTTAGTTTTATTTTACTCACTATTTTTGTTTTTCTCTTTTTTAACTTTAAAATTATTAATTTTTTTTTTATTTTTTTTCTTTCTTATAAGATGTCCCCAGATTGGCAGTATTTTATTGTAAGGTAGGAGTCAGATGAGTTGTAATTTCTAGTTCTAACTAGATTAGTGCAACAAGTCACATTTAGATATCATTTAGGTGACTAGATGATAGTAGACTTATAAGTTAAATAATATTTTATATTTACATATATAACTACAAATAGTTTAATAAAGTACTACTATAATTGCTTAAGAGGAAAAAAAAAAACCATAGTAGTTCAAGATTAGAATTGTATTAAAAAGTTCAAAATATTAATATATAAGTTTAATAAATAGTTCAAATAGAGCAGCAAATGAAAATCTTAATAAAAAATTAGTCAATAAAAATAATATAAAAAGGGTTATAGAGATTGTTAATAAGAAATATAAAAAATATAAGGCTTGATGATTACAATTTAGTTGGTTAGCAAGATTGTTGAATAGGCCATCTTAGTAAACAGAAACTTTGTAAAAAATAAGTTAAATATTATAAGAGCAAATAAAGTTAAGAAGAATATAACAGATAGAAAAATAAAAAGTATAAATAAAAAAAAAAGATAATAATTAGTAAATGTTTTAGTATTTAGAAATAACTAATTAGAAGCTAGTATAGATATGAATAGATAAGTGTTTGAGAGTAGTAATAATTACAAAAAAGATAGCAAGAAGTTGAGTTTATCTAATATCTATAAAATATTGAAAAGTGCTTAAGTTGATAAGAAAGTCATTAGTATAGAAATAGATAGTAGATTAATTAAAATTATAGTTTGTAGTCTATTAATAAGCTAACAAAATTAGAAAATAGAAGATAATTAATATAGATTAATAATTAGAAATAAGAAAATAAAAATATATAAGAGGTACCAAATAGCTACAAGTAAGCAATATTAAGAAAGTTAATATAAAGATTAAGAGTTTTATTAAAATTAATTCAGCAGAGTAGTTTTGTGCCAAGGTTAGTAGGAACAAAGAGTATACATTTGTTAGTATAATAATTGTGTTGAAGTTAAAATGGCAGCCTAGGCATTATATAGTAATTGATGATAAGATAGAATAGAGGTTAGAAAATTAAAACTAAAATAAACAATGCCAGTATGTAATAAGTGTAAGTTCAGAAGATATGTTGTGCCTTTTAGCTTTTTTAATAATAATTTAGTCATTAATAATATTAAATATAATATTATAAAAAACTAAAAACTAAATCTAATTTACTTTTAATTCAAACTTTGTTAAAAAGGTTTAATGCTTTTTAGTTTATATATATAATATTTGTAATTAGTATATTATATCAGATAAAGTTTAAAAGTTATTTATATTTATTTTGTATAACATTAGTAGTAAAATAAATTTGTGTTTGAGTAACCAGTATGTTAGTTATTGTAAAAATAAACTTTGGATTTTGGTTTTGAAATTAGATTATATATATATATATATAGGAGTGACTTGATAAAAAAAGAACAAATTATTTTTAGTGAAATTTTTTTAATTTTTAAATTTAAATAACTTAACAACTATTTAATCAAATTTGCTAAAAGTATTTTTATTTTAATATTGAAATTATATAGAACTAAAATAAGTAATAGATATTTAATAGATTGCTATAGATATTATGCATCATCATAGGCAATCGTTTATTATGCATTATTGCAGCTGTGCTATGATAACACATGATAAATGATTGTCTATTGATGATGCATGATATCTATAGCAATTCATTAAATATCTGTTTTATCCTCTGGATTCTAACATTCATGATTATTTTACTGATATTTTTTTTTCAATTTTCTTTTCATACAATGCCAAACCAGCATTAAAAAAAAAAAATTTCATAATATACCAGTTTTTGTTTTCATTAATACACATATTTATATTTTTAAAAATATTTCTGGGGTGTGGTGACTTAGTGAAGTGGATAAGTTGTCAACCCCCCAAGTGGTAGGTTGTGAGTTCAAAACCTACCGATGGCGAAAATTTGAATAATCATCTATGTAATACATAGACAGTATTACGGTGACGGCATTCTGTCGATCAGTTGGGATAGGATACCTGTAATTATGGTCGCACCAGCATGACTGGCAGGTCACGGGGCATCTGTGTAACCTTGGTTACACAGAGGAATGCAAACCGGTA